AGATCCCTTTCGCATGTAAGTCTTTCGAACCCAATCCTAATAAAATCTCTTTATCTTTTATATTTATCAATTTTTAACGACATAATATTCTTTATAGTGAGTTTAAAGAAGTATTGAGATCTCGAGCACGCTCCCGAAGATTAAATCAGCGAGAGCTACATAAGTTATTCACAGAAACTTTTCATGAATGGTTAGGCTAGACAGTAAGCAACTAAATCTTACGGAACACTTATAAATTATATACGTCTTGCTTTTTATATCGACGTCAATGCAAATTAATTCACCATTCATGTGTAATAAGTTTAGAGTGTGAGAGAAGTTAGTGAAGAAGTTAAATGGCTTTCTCAAGGTCCGAATAGAATAGTTAAAAGAAATAATGCCTTCCTCACTAATGGGTTCAGGTTCCACACGAAATCTCGTGAAAGATTAAGAATGACACAAAATTATGGAGTCGTAGTTACTTTGTCAACTAGAAGTTATGCTACTGTAAGGGACAATAATCCGCAGGAGGGAGAGGTCGATTATTATGGAAATCTTACAGACATTATTGAGTTAGATTATTATGGAAAACGAAAGGTTGTGTTGTTTCGGTGTTACTGGGTTGATGTAAACAAATGTATAAAAAGAGATAAATTCGGGTTTACAATGGTGAATTTCTCTCGTTTAATTCACACGGGTCAACGTTTGATGGATGAACCATATGTATTTTCTTCTCAAGTGAAACAAGTATTTTATTATCACGATCCAATGGATGATGGTTGGTATGTTGTGCTTCGAAATACTCCAGAGACTTGATAGAAATCGGGGATGGAAGTAGAGATGACATTGAAACAAGATCAGAAAGTTTACCTCTACTACCACAAAACTTAGATGAAACTATCAGTAATACAACACAATTTCAATGGGTTCGGGAGGACATTGATGAAGATATTTATGACAACTGACATTATATAAGACTTTTGTACGCTTTTATATCTTCATTTATTTATTTATAATACTATAACCTTTAACATATTATCTTTCAATATATATTCATTAATTAATTCATTTTTTTTATTACTCATGTTTGTTTATTATAGATATCATGCCGAGGAGAAAAATAAATGATTTGCGGGTTGTTCGAGCTTCTGAAGACCATGAAGAAAGAAATAACGAGGAATCGAATGCACCTGAGTCTTCTGAAGTTTCGGAAACTGTTGAAGAAGACGTAGAAATTCAAAGTAATCTTCGAAACATTATTTACTACTTTGTTCATTTTCAAAACTGGCATTTAATAATTTCTTATATAGTTGAAAATGTTGGAACGCGCAAAACTCGAGGACGTACAACTTTGAAGGAATTATACCAACTTTCTCTTGGGCATCGTGTCAAAGTTTCAAGAAACGATGTCGGTCAACCTATTGGCCCAGAATCACGTCTTCTAGCAGGTTACTTAGGCATAGTTGGACGTAATGCAAATATGTTACCGATCAATTACGAGTCATGGCGTGAAATGCATAATAGTAACAAAAATCAAGCGTAGGATTTTGTTAAGGTAATAATGTCATTATAATACATACTCTATAGAAATTCAATACTAATTTATACTTACGGTGTACACTTATTTGCTGTATAGGAGAAATTTTCTATAGAGGTCTCTGACGATTATGTGAAGCAAACGTTAGGGAAGAGATGAAGGGATCACAAGAGCTTCTTAAAGAACAAATACTTCAAGAATGATTTCAGCCTTGAAGAGAAGTTGCAAACAGTACCACTAGGAAGGCTTAGGTACCAATGAGAAGATGCAATCATATTTTGGAGTTCACAAAAAGGACATGTATGATGTATTTTTCAGAAATAATTGTAACGAATTGTAAATCATCATTAAAAGTAGTTGTTTGACATTGTAGGATCGAGAGCATATTGGTGTTGCTAGCAGGTAACAACAAAAGTTTACGCACACGGCTGGATCGAAGAGTTTTGCTTGTATAGCTCATGAGGAGGTATTATAGATTATTGAAATAGTTTTTTGTATTACATGTACATACTAACTCATAGTAATTATATTATTGTACATTGTAGGAAAATACATTAGGTTCTAAAGTTGGTCGAATCCAACTCTTCGACATGACACATACGAAGAAGGATGATACTCCTATGACTGTTGACGCTACATAACTTATGGTACATTTTTTGGGTAGATGTTTTAAATTTACCTGACTTTATTTTATATTTGTACCATGACATTTTTTTATTTTAATTAATTATTCACTTTATTAGGAAAAATTGAGGGAGAAAAAGGCGGAGTATCATGTTACTGTTTCGAGTCAAGGTATTGTTAATGATGATGACATTGAAAACCAAGCTATTAATGATGTTTTGGGTCCTGAAAGATATGGTAGGGTGCGTTGTCAAGGATCATTCGTTACTCCCACCAAATATTTTGGATCCAGTTCATCACAGTACATGTCATCACAGTCTCGATCTTCCCACCAAGAAGTTTGTCGTTTAAAAGAAAAGTTGGTTGAGATGGACCAACAAATGGCTAACTTGAAAGCGGAAAATGAAGCAAGGGAAGCAGAGAGAGCAGTAGCAGAAACAGCCATAGCAGCAACGGAAGCAGAGAGAGAAGCAGCGGCAGCACAGAGAGAAGCAACATATAAGCAGAGATGTGAAAAATTTGAAAAACGACTCAATGATATGATGTTGATGATTCAGAAAACGCAACCTCAGAATCCACCATCGTAGTCTCATTTATGTTATGAGCATTCTACTGGACCTTGTTTAACTGAACTTATATTACGTTAATGAAAACTTTTATTTATTATATTGGATTTGATGTTGTTTGTTATGGATATAGAGTTTGATGTTATTATTTTTTTGTTTGTTGGATAATGGAATAGGTTGAAAAAACAGTTTTGGGGTAATCAAGCATAATTTTTAGGACTGTTAAATTCTGTGTTATTTAACGGCGTTTGTAACAAAAAACGCCGCAATATACCATACATTTAGCGGCATTTTTATCCTAGAAACGCGGCTATATACAGACCTTTACCGGTGTTTTTGCTAAAAATGCCACAAAACATCAATACCTACTGCGGCGTTTGTGAGAAAAACACCGTAAAACATCAAAACCTATTGCGGCGTTTGTGGGAAAACGCCGTAAAACATCAACACCTACTGCGGCGTTTTAGAGAAAAATACCGCTAAATATCAACACTAACAAAAAACGCCGCGAACTTTAGCGGCGCTATTTTCAACGGCGGTTTTCGCGGCGTTTGTCTTAACGCCGCATGTGATTTTAGCGGTGCTTATAAACGCCACTACTATAAGCGCCGCTAAAGGTAAAAAAATGCCGCAAAAAGCCTGTTTTGCTGTAGTGAACCCATCAAAATAAATGTAATTATTAGTTAATAATACATGTTATATATATTTAAGGGTTATGATCCACTTACACAATGTATACCTTTTTAGTTTTACACAAATTTAGGATTGTTGGATGAACAAAAATAGATAGTGGAGATTAACTCATCGTTTTTTTTCTAGTGAATATATTCTCATTTTATACTGTTAATCTCACTCATCTATTTGCGCTCGTCTAACGGTCCTAAATTTATGTAATATTAAAATAACTTTACATCTTGTAACATGATCTTATCCCTATATTTAAATGTGTAGTTAAAATAAGATTTAAAATAATTTTTTTAATATTTTAAATTAAATTTAATATTTCTTCTTTATACGAAATACATATCAATTTATCACAAAAATTTAGTGTTCAATTATCAATCTCGTTAAATATAAAAATATTTAAATAGAATGTATAAACAATTATCTTTAAATTTTAAAAATTTAAATTAACCTATTAATTATTACTTTTTAAAATATTTTTGAAATTATAAACAATATTAAACGATAATATTTAAAAGAAAAAAATATGTTTTATACACATTTCTTTAACTCAAGTAGAAGTTAAATATTTTAACTTATGAATTTAATTTAATTTTTATTTTTAATCTTGTATTAATTTGAGATTAAAGTCCTTGAGTAAGTCCTAATCATATAGTTTACTTAGGTTTAAGTCCCTAAATAATTAATATTTTTTTCTTTATTTTTTCTTTTGAAGTAGCCCCAATATATTCTATACAGGATTATGTAAAACAAATCACAATTGAAGGTCTCAATCAGTGGCATTTGGCTATTTGATGTGTGTATTGATATGAATAATTTATGATATTTTCTAATTATATTTAGATACAAATTCAAAAGTCTCAACTAATATAGTAAGAATATTTTATATAAGTGTTGATGATATGAATATATAATAATGAAATCATATTTAGTATGTGAATGTATGATATAAAAGTATATGATATTTACAGTGATGATTGATATGTATATAAAATTATTTGTTAATCTAATTATATGAATATAATTAAGTTGTCTTTGTGCCTATATGTTACATATATATATTACATATAATATATATTATTTTCTTAATTTGTTTTATCTTCTTATAGTTTGGGTTATATTTTTATTCTTTTTGAAATTTTTAAAAAGTGTTTTAAAATTTTTATTTTTTAGCAATTTAATTTAATTTTTTATATTTAGCAATTTAATAAAAAATCAGTTTAACCCTAAAACTTAATAAAAAATCAATGTAACCCTTTGACACGTCATCATCCGCTGTGAAATGATAGTAAGAGTTAGTTTGAGAAATAAATAGAACGGTTAAAAACTAGAGAATTTAAAATGAGATCGTAGTTTGGAGACTAATATAGAATGTTTTTTAATTATAAGGATCGAAATAAAATAAACATCATAGTTCAGGGACATATTCTGTTATTACTCCTAAATATCATAGTGCAGGGGACATATCCTGTTATTTTTTTAACAAAATAGATAATTAAAAAAAAAAAAAAAACCCTGCCGACAAAAGTTAATGTGTACCAGGAATAAGCTTGATTTGTTTTCTTTTATAAACAACTCGTTCTCCAGTCTTTTCATTTGCGAGGCGCTTTAGTCTATTAGATCACTTTACGAAAGCAAAGCAAAAAATGAGCAAATCCGACCGCTCAAAGCTTCACATTGCCATGTTTCCATGGGTTGCCTATGGTCACATCATCCCCTTCCTTCATCTCTCAAATAAGCTTGCTCATAAAGGCCATAAAATATCATTCCTTTTGCCTAAAGGAGTTCAACCAGAGCTTGAAAACATGAGCCAATTCCCCAACCTCATTCAATTCTTTCCTCTAGTCCTTCCTCAAGTCGATGGTCTCTCTCCAGGTGCTGAAACCACACGTGTCGTTCCTTCGAACCAACAAAAGTATCTTTTTTTTGCTGTTGATCAAACAAGAGATCAAGTTGAATCCATCTTCAAGGTTCTAAAACCTGATATGGTTTTTTATGATACAGGGTTTTGGATTCCTGACTTGGCTCGCCAACTTGGGATCAGCCCCGTATTCTATGTAGTGACTTCCCCGATGATTGCGGGGATGATGATAAAACCTAAGAAACTAACCATGGAAACGACGTTAGAAGAGGCGATAGAATTGCCTCCCGGTTACCCTTCTTCCACGGTGAGGTTCAAAGTTGAAGAGGCTCCTGCACTGTTGGTTATGGCTGAGGATGTCGGGAGTGGATTGTCGTTACAAGAACGGATGAACAAGATTATGATAGGAAGTGATGCCGTTGCCTTCAGGAGTCACCGTGAACTCGAGGGACCATTTCTTGACTACTTTGCTCAAGAAACTGGGAAGCTTGTTTTATTATCGGGGCCTTGCTTGCCTGAAACAAAGACCCAACAACTTGATGACAAATGGGTTACTTGGCTAAGCCAGTTCGAGCCAGGGTCCGTTGTGTTCTGTGCATTCGGAAGTGAGAGTGAGTTGCAGAAGGATGAGTTCCAAGAGTTAATTCTGGGGTTCGAGTTATGTGGACTCCCATTTTTGGTAGCTTTAAAGCCACCTAAAGGATGCTCGACTGTTGAAGAAGCACTGCCGGAGGGGTTCAAAGATAGGGTTAAAGGAAGAGGGTTGGTTTATAGTGATTGGGTTCCACAAAAGCTGCTATTGAACCACCCTAACATTGGGTGTTTCGTAAACCACTGTGGGTATGGATCAATGTGGGAGTTTCTGCTTAGTGACTGTCAAATCGTGCTGATTCCTCAACTTCCAGATCAAATTCTGAACACTAGGTGGATGGTGAATGATCTGAAGATTGGTGTTGAAGTAGAGAGAGGTAAAAACAGGCAGGTCTCAAAGGAGTCATTCAGTGAAGCTATCAACTTTGTGATGGACAAGGAGAATGAAACAGCTAAGATGTTGAGGGCAAACCATGCCAAGCTGAAGCAAACACTTTGTAGCAGAGATTTTCAAGAAGAATATATAAACAATTTCATCCAAGCTCTGCAAGATCTTGTAAAAAAGTAGTGTTATGTTGCACAACAAGATGAATAAAATCCAATGTAGGATCTAATGAATAAGCTGAGTGTAGCAGTTTTAAGGTGTTATGTTGTTTAACGTAGAACCCTAGTTCAGTGTGGAGGTTCTATTTATGGTGAAAAGACGTACAATTATCTAATATAATATAATTATATAACTATTAGTGTTGTAATAATATGTTTGTTTAACAGCGATAGACTCAACGAGTCAACGTGAATATTTAAAATCAAGGTTTTCGTATGGCGTCTTGCGCATGAAGTCCTTCCAATTGGTCTAAGCCACTACCCTCCACCGTCAAGATCAACGTGGATGACTCCTTCTGTCCCACCTCTGCTTCTGCCTCCATTGGGGTCCTGGCGCGTGACGAACATGGTTGTGTACTTGCTATTCTTGCTCGACCTTGAGTTTTCCTTGGTGATGCAACAGTGGTGGAGTAGGCCATCACTGTCGGCTGGTATTCAATTAGCTCTTGAGATGGATGCCCTACAAGTTATCGTTGAGAGCGACTGCAAATCTAGTGCGTCAATTGATTCATCATCCTCTCGGTTTATCGGTGGCTAGTTTTTTTTTTCTTTTTTTCAAAGCAAAGTTACTCTGATTAATAAACAAATATTGACATAAAGCCAATAAAATATCCAAGTTCCACAGAAAAAGATACAAGCATATAAAATTACACTCAACTGCTTATCCAACAAAACTATAACATATGAAAAACGATAGGAACTCGGGAAAATCCACATACGGCATCTTTAACATAGGCTAAAGAAAGGCGTTATCAGTTTTATTATTATTTTTTTAATAAAATCAGTAAAAAATTAATAAAAACATTATTATTTCTATCAGTTTTGTTATTATTGGACGCTTTATCAATTTTGTTATCACATTTAGTAAAACGCTGCCTAAAACATTATTTTTTACTGATTTTATTATTATTTGACACTTTACCAGAAACTCAGTCTAATAAAAACAAAACACAACAAACACCACTCCCTTATCAGCATTGCCATCACGCTTTGAACATCACTTTCTTCCTTCTACCATCTTTTGCAAATAGATCGGTCATAACATTTCGCTTTCGATTAACATAGATAAATTTAACTCCCCTAATTTGGTTCAATAACATGTCAAAACTTTTAAAAAAATTCCAGAACAACCATGGTCTTAATACCAGCTTCGAAATCCATTACTCCGGTGTTAGAGAGTTTGATTCAATAATCAATTTATAGCGGTCACCAAAACTGTAACACCCACATATCGATACGGGTGATCCGATCCGATCCGAGGTGTCACATTAGGGCCACCAGAGCGACCCACCATAATTTTTTAGGAAATTTAAATTTTTTGTTAAAACGTGTAAAATCATAAAACAATTTATAAACACAACGGTAAAATTTTACAATATTCAGGAATAAAACAAATTCCAGACTCGGATATAAAAACAAAATACAACTTACATGCCCCCTAAACACATGCACCATACTCCACAAGAAATGCCGAAAGAACTCCCTTACTAATGTCGATAGTTGCACTGGTTCAATCATTTTAACCTGAAAAGGTGAGTAACATAGTGAGCTTTAGAAAACTCAGTAATACATAACTATCAAATGATGATATATAACATGCAGATAATAGGTATGCATACTTTTCTTATTGGTTCAGACATATACAGATTTTTATGCTTCCAGTTAGTAAAGGACAAGAAGCTTCCAGTTCAACGTTTGGAGGACTAGATTTAGTAAATTAGAATAGGGTGTCTAGTGTGTTCCTATAAATCCAGCGAAAATGTATAGATCTTTTTAATACAGTAGCAATTTAAACATATTTTTCAAAAACCATAATAAACCCCTCCAACCGAAAGCCAATATGCAGTTCCACTGAACTACATCCATAAAGACTTACCCTATGACCAAAGGACGTAGGTGCTAACCTAAGGGAGCACCTTGTGTCCATAAGGTCTTACCCAAAAGAACATAGCAGTGGTGACATCCCTAAGGTAGTGCCTTAGGGTCCATAAAGTCTTACCACTAGGCCCCATAGGCCCAAGAGCCCACCCAAGAGTCGCCTTAGGTCCATAAGAAATTAGCAGTCGATGCTAAACCTATGCAAGAAATTACCAACAGTGACTGAACCTGCTAGATTCTTCAGTCATACCAGAGTCCTAGAGTACCCCGTATAAAAATAATTTCAGTTAGTAAATAGAGATATTAGAAATTAGAGCAGAGATCATAACTGAAATTCGAGATCAGAACATGCATCAAAGTTCAAAGCAAAAATCAGAGGTCAAATTGTATTTCAGATAACAGAGACATACTTTTAAAATCAGAGAAAACATTCGTGTGATTAGGGAACACACTAGAGGTTCCAAATATTATTCGGAGGTGATTGATATTTATCAGATAGGGAGTCATGAAACTTCTATAAACTAATTAAATTCATAGACGAGATCCCCATAAAAGGGTTTGATAGCTGACGAATTCATCAGTTATTCAGAACATGATTTATCAGGATCATATAGTATTCAGATATTTTTCGGAGGCATTATGTAATCAGAAAGGTATTTAGAATCCTATGCAATAAGAGTTACTTGTGTTTTTCGGTATGACAGGAGTAATTCAATTATTCAAGAAATCAACGACATTTTGGGCATTAGGTTCTTGGAGAATTCTTAGTGATTTGAGCTAATAAAGGAGAAACGAAGATTCAGGGCATTTAAGATTTGTGTCGATCAATCAGAATATCGAGTTAACTTAAACTGTACAAATCTCAACAATGATACATGTCAATCGGTAAAATCGTTGCACTTGAAGGGTATTCACTCTTTAATACAGACAACTCTTGTCAAATGATCATCTTTAGAATCACCACTAAATGGATCTTAAGGAGACGAACATATATTACAATGGTCTTTATTTCATTTCTACATTGCAACGATATCAGGAAATGTCGACGTGCTTGATTTGTGGTTCATAACCCCTAGGGATGATACATTATGTAAGTTGATCAACGTTTCCAGACTTATCCAAGTCATTGAGGTACTTAGGTCATTTTGTAGTCAAGCCTATCCTAGTTATTTCAGAGTTTCCAGAGTAATTAGGTCATTTCCGCAATTACGAATACATATGTTACTTCCATTCATTTAACTTGATCATAATATAAGATCTCAGTTCGTCTCCCTTATCATAGTCATCCATAGTCCATTTTCACTTTAAGGGTATTATCATCATTTCATTCAATTCTGTCAGTGACATTACATTCTGATAACTTAGGCTTGAAAGTATTCTAGTTCCATTAAAGTTTAGAGTACTTTGTTCATTTAATCACTGGAGGTTATTTTAACTACTAGGGGATGTCTTGGTCCTTTTACAGTACAAGGGCATTTTCATAATTTTACCCATAGTGTTATTTTTGGTAATTTCTTATCCAAATATTTCCAACATTTAATCTTTAACGAGATTAATTAGAATTTATGCATTCTGAGATTGATTAATTTATTGATTAAATTATTGAACTGAAATTTATTTCCGATCAGTCTACCAATTCCTTTTTCGAGCCGTTAGAATCTTATACAGTGTTCCGTATTTAATCCAATTTATGTCTGAGTCCAAACATAGTTAACTACCCTAATGGACCAATTATTTTCATTCATACACTTACCATTTATCAGTGAGTCCTGAAAAGTATACAAAAGGTAGTAAAGTATCACCTCGATCTCCGTGCTCCACCGATAGAGCATTTAATCTCCATTCGATCATCCTCGAACTTTAATTCAATGTCCAATAATTCCTCGGATACATAGCAAACAAATTTACGTTAGAAACTAAACTTAAATGAGAAACCAACTTGAATTCAAAGATAAATCATTGATAAACGGCTTATCGGGTGCGAATTTGACAAAACGAACTTCAAATTCGAACTTAGGATGTTAAAAAACATAAAATACGATTTTTTTTTAAAAATTTACTTTTTTGGTCAAAGTCAAAGTCAACAGACTGACCGGTCAACGGTTCGGGTTAGGTCAAATCAATTCGGGGTTGGGCAAACGGATCGGGTTGATCGGTTCGGGCTGGTCTAACCGGTTGGACCGGTCCAAAAGTTTCCAGGACAAGGGAAGAAGCTCACACGCACAGCCGGCGCGTGCGGCGGCAACAGAGGTCTAGTTGGTCGATCGCTTCATCCCGGAGCATCTACACACCATAAACAAGTCAAACCAATTTAAAAAATTAACCAAAACAGAAAGAAAATTAACCAAACTATAAACCTGAAACTTACTGTTGAAAACATTTTTGATGTTTCGATATAACAAATTAAGTTAAACGAATTTTAAGATTTTACAAATGATTTTCTTAGTATATTCGATTTAATTACTCGAATATCAAAATATTACTCCAAGTATTTCAAGATCAAATTCAAACCTTACTAAATGTGTAAAATTGTGTTTTATACTTAAACTATTTTTTAAACAATTTTCACAAAGTATTTTGAACCAAAATCAAGCCTGAAATCAATTTTTCAAAGTGATGCACCGATGCACCAATCCATGCATCGATGCACCATGGATTAAATTGAACATCGAATGCATTTTATGCATCGATGCACATACCATGCATCGATGCACTCAGGCTATTTTGAAACATCGAATGCACTTCATGCATCGATGCACTCTTAGTGCACCGATGCACTAAGGGTCCAACGGTCAAAATATTTGAATTTTACACTTGATGCACCGATGCACCATGGGTATGCATCGATGCACTGACGCTCCCAACTGAATTTATTAATTGTTTTCACACTTAAACGACTCTATTGACTCTACTAATCATCCCCAACGTTCAGAATCATTTAAAGGAGTATTTAAACAAGCTTAGAAGCCATTGATCTATAAGAGAAAACAAGAAGAAACAACAAGCAACTAGAATCAAGAGAGAATCAAAGAGAAAGCATCAAAATCATTGTCTGAGCACTTCAAGCCTATTTTTCATTTAATATTC